GTTCATTGATCAACTTTATAAGTTAATGATCTAATGGTCTAAAATTGCACGGTGGCAATTTTGTGATTATTGAGAAGTCTCGTGGCGTTTGTGAATGTTCAGATCTGACAATTGTAGATCTAATCCAAGGGTTAAGAATTGGTCTTACGGGTCTCACGAAAAACCGTTGGTCTCACATGATCCCAAGTCTATATATATATATATATATATATATATATATATATATATATATACACACACATACACACGCGCTAAAGGTTCATGTGAGATAGGAGTTAAGTTGAGAAACGTAAGAAGGGATATGAACCCTTGATCACTTCTAATCTCACCCCCATCACATGAATTGCTCACGGGAATTGATCCGGTGCATTTCGTTGCATCACATTAGTGTTTATCTTCAATTATGATTGTGGATATCCCTTCTCACCGGAACCCAACCCTATATCCATATCCATATACATGTACATATACATATACATATATAGACTTGGGATCATGTGAGATCATGCTATTTTCATGAGACATGTGACATCATTTTTTACACTTGAAACTTCACAGAAAAACACTGTGAAGGTAACCTTCATAGTGTTTATTACAGTGTTTATGCTGTGAAGGTTCAGATTTTTTTTTACCTTCACAATATTTTGTTGTGACGTTTCAAGTGTAAAAATGTGGTCTAATGAAAACAGACTGGTTTCACATTATCCCAAGTCTATATCTGTATATATATTTAGGGAGTGCGAATTCAGATCTCTTAACCATATTCAGTGATGTCATACAAACATTCTCTATGTTAACAAAGAGGCTTGACCTCTGATAGAATTCGAGGTTTAAGCCATTTAATCCGTTCAGAGAATAACAAATACCATCTTGAAAATCACTGAAGCTAAAAAGATTTAAGTATGGGAAAGCTTGGAAGTCAGTGAAAAACAAATGGAAATAGTCCAAAAGAGGTTAAAAAGACCACCCTCAAGAATAGGCACATGGTTGCATACCTCACTCCAGCAATTTCCCATTGATGTAGTATTCTGAAGAACATGTCACAGCATCACCCTACAAGTTCGAATTCTAGCATATGAGATCATCTTTTGTTGCGGGTAACAAAGTTAACAAGTAATAATCACACACACACACACACACACATGGAGAGAACAAAAATATTTACATAGTTCACCCAATATGGCTACATCCAAGGGTAGTAATGAATGAGAAAATTAAGTTACTTAAGATAAGAGAACCAACAAATAACTGCTGGTATTAAGTTATAGAACATCCCTTTTAAGACCAACCATTTTTGTGGTTATATTGGCCAGACAGAGAATATAACACATAATAGAGATCAGAATATTGAAAAACAGAGGTTCCTAATCCCCAAAAAGAACGGATATTTAATATACTCCAACATAGATGTAATCCTGCTAGGACCAAAAACATATAAATCTCACTAGTGGTTGGGTGAGGATTTTCAGATATCTATGTACTGAAATTGGAAGCTTTTTGAGAATACGCAGAGCCCCATTAGATTACTTTCCAAGAAAAGAAATGGTCAAAGTCTAGCCGATATGGGACTCCAACACGCCTCTTACAATGGAGGCTAGATGAGCATAGGTTGTCCCTAGAGACGAGTGGTAGACCTTGGCTCTGATACAATGTGAGAATATGTGGAAACCCATTAAATTACTTTCCAAAAGAGCTGTTGGAGAGACAAGGGAGGTTCTAATATATATTGAAAAGAAATGGTTTAAGTCACTCCCAAATTAAAGGGAGGGTCTACAATGTAGGGCTACGGAACCATTCAGGACATTTGAAGGTCAAAATCTGATCATCCAAAAAAGGTGTGATGACCCAAGTGCTACTTGATTTACATCGTAATATCTAGAGAGACTGTTGAATCAAAATGTGTAAGCTCCTATCTTTCTTGTCTCAATCCAAATGGAATGGGTTTCTTTTTTCACAAACTCACAATTTCTCCCCATGGTAAGAACCATCTTACTTTAACGTTCCTTAAAATCCTTAATTGTTTGGTCATTCCTACAAAAACTTTATTGTGTCTAGGGCACACACAAATAGCACTTTCCCTCTTCTTCCTTATGTCAGTTGTTGGGATTCCTCTGGTGAGCCTGTTATCTACTAAAATTGACGTCCAAAACACTGCAAGCCAATAACATACTCAAGAAACTCAAATTCTGAAGAGAAGATATCGAAGAACAACAATTTCAGTGACAGATCTCTATTCATCTGATATCACAAACCACCAGAACCATTGGATTCGAATCACAATTGAATTCTTCATCATCTAAAAGTTGAAATATACACACGCTAATCACCTAAAAGTAAAATTAATCTCTAACATGACCTACAAATTACACTTATCCTAAGTCTAGCAACTCCATAACCTCCACTAACGCATAAGTAATTGAAGTCATTCTATCCATCAAAAAACATCAGAACCATTGCATTTCAAATCGCATTTACATATAATATTGCTTAATCACAAATGAAACCAAACACATTAACCGCTGGAACTTATAAATCTCTAAAACAGCCAAATTTTATATAATAATTAACCTACAAATCTTCATGATACAAAGCATCCAGTTGTGCAACGCGAACATTTTCATTTCTCAAAAACATGACAATGTGTCCATAATTAACAAAATTTGGAACAATTTCTTACAAAACTTGTCAAATTTATCCTCGAAATCATAGAAATAAAGAGAAGAATAATACCTGGAGATCATGTAAAACGAATGCATTTGGTGATCCAACAAATCTGTGGAAGAATCATGAAGGAATCTAGAGAAGCAAAAACCTATGAAGATGGTTTGATGAATTGGAATTTTGCTGAAAATAACGAACTTCTGAAAATATGGTTGTTCGTCCTCTCTCCCTCTTTCAAAGAGAAACAGAGAGAAATGACAAATTACAGATCACGTCTAATAACAAGTCTTATATGCAGACTAAGGTCACAAAATTTTACAGCATTTTTATACCTTTTGCATCTCAACCGTCTATCCTTAATCTAACGATTGTGAATAGTAGTAGGCTTTTTTTTAATTCAAAACAATAATATTGTACATTTCACAAAAATAAAACCGTAATTTTGGAAGAAAGATTGTCATTGGAGTTTACATCGGCTAGATTTGGACCATTTCTATTGTCATCAATCCTATCTTATATCGGAGTCTCGCCGGTCCCTTCTTGGATTTTGTATATAAAAGGGTTTTACCGGTGAATACAGATCAAGGAAATTATATCATTTTTCATGGTATCAGAGCCAAGGTCTACCACTCCAAGGACTCAACACTCTTAGCTAACCCCCTCTCGACACCATGGGACAATTTGTGTCCATCTAGCCTCCATTGGATACAGATCAAGGAAATTATATCATTTTTCATGGTATCAGAACCAAGGTCTACCACTCCAAGAACTCAACACTGTAGCTAACCCCCTGTCGACACCATGGGACAATTTGTGTCCATCTAGCCTCCGTTGGATACAGATCAAGGAAATTATATCCTTTTTCATGGTATTAGAGCCAAAGTCTACCGCTCCAAGGACTCAACACTCTAGCTAACCGCTTCTCGACACCATGGGACAATTTGTGTCCATCTAGCCTCCGTTGGAGGGGGCGTGTTAGAGTCCCACATATGTTGGAACCTCCTCTTTCTCCTCAGGGGCTCAGATTAATCAAGGGATTCCACATATTCTCACAATTGTATCATTAGTTACTGAGTCTAATGAAAAATATTATCTTTAATTGAATATAGTTAGTATAAACAAATATTAGATATACGAGGAAAGTTCGGTTGCAAACCTTATTTCCATTGCGAACCGAGAGACAAACGAGAGCGCGACACGTGTCCTCATTCTCATAATGAACGACAAAATGATGAATGTTACTCATGAATGATACGCCTAGATAAACATCCTGGACACGTGTCGCTCCCCGGTTCGCAACGGAAATCAGGTGAACGTGCCCCGAAGTAGTAATAACCTGAGTAAATGCTAAGCTGGGATGAAGTCGAAATCGTTTATAACTTGATTATCATGAATAGTGTAAAAAACAACCCTAATTGAGAAATCAAACACAAAATTCTAACACTAACAACCAAAGCAGATGATGTTTTCTTCAACTTCTTTCTTCAAATTACTTGGATTTAACCAATCATGGAGTGACAACATTAGACCTGTTATCTTCGGAAGACGGTCGGTTTTCGGAGGAATCCGATGGTCGTAAATCGATGATCATCTTAACAACTTCCTCCATTGATGGTCTCATATCAGGGACCCTAGTCACACAAGCAAGCCCAATTTGAAGCATTTGCACCATCTCTTCTTCAACATGTGGTTGCTTCATTAATTCCACATCAAACACCTCCGCTGTCCATTCTTCACGGACCACCGACCGGACCCATCTCGGTAGGTCAACCACCTCGTCTTGACCAGATGAAGGGAGAGGAGCTTTGCCGGTCAAGATCTCGAGAAGCAAAACTCCGAAGCTGTAAACGTCGGATTTTTGAGTGAATTTCCGGGTTTCTATAACTTCGGGTGCGTAGTATCCTATGCACCGAGATTTTGCAGGGAGGAAGTTCATCAAGGGGGCTAAGCCCAGATCGGAAACGCAACCATCGAGGTCTCGGGTGAGAAGAATGTTTGAAGATTTGATGTTACCATGAGTGAACTTAGCACCTCCTTCTGAGTGGATATGAGCAATTCCCTTTGCAGCTTCAAGTGATATCTTCACTCTCGAGTCCCAATCTAGTGGTGTTCTTCCTATGCCTCTGTTACCTGTTATTAGGGAATATCAATAGAACCGGAAAAAGAGAACCAATTTTGATGTGCGTTTTCAAGTTCCATGGTACAACAGATCAATGCAGTAAGAATCACGATCAGGGTGTCGGTATGCAGAGACCAGTTGTACCATACAACTTGATAAACCACAACAAAACATCTAGATTTCATTTTCACCACTGCCCATGAATGATATCATGGTGTGTAAAACACGAGTTAGAGGATATAACAAGAAACTGGAATCATAAACAAAAGGGCAAAATGCCACAAAACTTTTTTTTGATTAACCTGGATATCCAACCCGCTATGCGAGCCGACTAATCCCAGGGCGACCACCTGCTTTGCAAATAGCCCGGAGTCACCGCATTTGAACCTCCATGGCCACAAGGGGATTTGTATTCCTGCTTGGATTTGAACCTGGAACCTCCTGATACTTTTGACCTTTGGAGCCAAGCTCAAACCAATCAGGCAGCACCCTTGTGGTTAATACAACAATTTTTGCCTTAGCTCCTATTTAGTGTACAAAGTTTCAAAACTTTCTATTTAATGCAACAGTTCCAAAGTTTTCTATTTTTAACCCATTTTGACGGGTAATCTGTTAATCGTATAACATTCTATGACGTGCATGTCAAGTTTATCGTCCACTTTGTCGTAACTCTTTCGTAAACGGCTATCCATGTCATCAAATATTACAAGATCAATAGGTTACTGATTAAAATAGGTACAAAATAGGAAATTTTGCAACTTCGTTTCATCGATTGAGAAAAAAATTCTTCGTTAAACTAAACAGGAACTAAACAAAACTTTGTTATAATTTGATGCAGTTTGCCCTAAACAAAAATCAGGGGAAAATCCGGTCCGGGTATCCCATACAGATCATCATGGAAACAGCCGCTCTAACCTTTGGGATAGAGGACAAGTCTGTCGTACATCCCACTTTCATGGGATATACTGGATTAGTTTGGCTTGCTTTATAGTACAACAGATTAGTGATGAGGGTGTTGGTATCGATAGATCAATTGTACAGTACAACTCAGTAAAGCACACCAAGACATCTCGAATTAATTTTTTACGTACCGTGCAAGAGTGAGGACAGGCTGCCGGTGTGCATGTACTCGTGAACAAGAAGCTTTTCATCCTTGGAATAGTAGTAAGCGCATAGTGGCACAATGTTAGGGTGCCTTCCTAGCCTCCCTACAAACTCCATATGCTGTTCAAACTCTTTCTTAGGAACCCCAACTTCTCGTATCCGTTTCACCACCACAGTTGTTTCTTCATCCAAGATAGCCTTATAAGCCGTTCCATAACTCCCTTTACCAAGAACTTCGGCCGAGGCCCTCAACAAATCTTCAAGATCAAAGTTATAAGCACTTCCATCAAAAAAAACCAACTTGTTCTTCTCAGATGCTTGCACGCCACTTCCAAAGTCATCGGACTTCTCGTTTTTCCCAGCAGTGACAGCTTGGACTTTTAGCGCACCAACGGAATCTTCATTTTTCTTCTTTAAACAGCAAAACAGGAAAAAAGCAAGTAAAAGTAGGAGAAAGAAGCCTCCTACAGCAATGCCCACAATAGCACCAGTGCTGAGTTTCTTATGTCTCATCGAGTGAAAGGGAATGGATGGAAGATAATTAGGAGAAGGAGAAGGAGAAGAGGTCAAAGATGAGCACTGACTCAAAGGGGGCCCACATAAGAAAGAATTCCCTTCGAATGAAGAAACTGGAAATTTCTGGAGGGAAAAGGGAATTGAACCATTTAGTATGTTATGGCTAATATTAAAAAGCCGAAGCCTAGTGAGGTTAAGATCAGGCAGAGCTCCGGAAAAGGAATTGAACTGGAGGTTCAATGAGGTAAGTCGGGTCAAATTCTTTATTGTCTGCGGAATGTTGCCCGAGAATGAGTTGAAAGAGAGATCTAATACACTTATTTGAGGGGAAAGAGGAAGAGGAATGTCCCCAGAGAAGTTATTGTGTTGAAGGTAAAGGGATTGAAGAGAGGGAATAGATGGTATATCAGAAGGAAGAGTTCCACTGAGAGAATTTGATCGTAGGCTAAGAATTCTGAGAGCGTCTAGTTTTCCGATGCTATTGGGAGGGATTTGACCATAAAGTCCGACACCTGGGAGATGGATGGCGATAACTCTTGTTCCTTCATCATTGCATTTGATACCAACCCAAGAAGTGCAAATAGGGATGGTAGAATTCCAGTTTAGTTTTCTTAGGTGTGGCACTGTTGAAGCAAATTTAAAGAGAGCCTGGGCATCAGAGTTCAGATCAGCAGTTGTGAGATAAAGATTGTGCAGAAGGATGAAGGTGGCAATTGCTAATAATCGAAGCTTCATTGGGTTTTCCATTGTGGGTGTGTAACTTCAAGCTCAGTAGCTCTAACGGATCTCTTGATCAGGCACCTAAATGAAGGAGAAAGGATAGAAATTTTTGTTTACATAAGAACTCAACTAAAAAAATGAAGGAGCAACTATCGGGATGATATAGAAAAAAGGTAAAATATTGAACAATTTTGCAATTGAAGAGAACGTTGTTTACAAATAACTAACAAATAGACCAAACCTGGTATATCACACTCGAAAGTAGGGTCTGGGAGGGGTAGATTGTAGGCAGACCTTATCTCAACCACTAGGATCAAGAGGCTGTTTCCGTGTGAAGACCCCACCGGCTTGTGCAGACACAAGTGTGTGTGCAAGCAGGCAATAAGATATGTAATATAACTAGGTAATCGGGAAATACAGTAGGTAGAATAACAATTCAATGGTGTGTAAGCAGACAATGTAATCAAGTAAAACATGTAATACAAGTAGAAACTAATGTACATAGCAACTAAAACATGTAAGAAAGACAAGCAAGAAAGTCAAGTGATCAGGCGCAGCTAACCCGCAAGGAGCCTGTTTGCCTACTATTTACCCACACTAACAAATGGAAGAAATAACTGAAATCAGATTTAAGACAACCACCAAAACATCTTTCAAGATAATTAGCATATGATTGAGCAACAAGAAGACGTGAAACTAATGGCATCTGTAGAAGTGAAGATGAATCTATTATGAATCCATCAAAGTAAGAAACATGAAATGCATTGTAAATTAGCAATTTAAGACTAACGGGTTCTATTATATTAGTAACTGATGAGAACAGTTAGTTTATGCTACCAGATAAGGAAGATGAAGAGGATGGCTTGTTACCTTGCAAGATCTGCATAATGGAATTCAGGAAGCGAAGAAACAAGTTTGACAAAGTTTCAAACTTTGTTAGAAGCTAGTCAGATTATCTTGACCTTCTCACCTTTTTCCATATGGGAAAAAGCAGAGAATAATTATTTGAACTTTAGATTTTTGGTAGAAAGTAGTAAGCTTAATGTTTAGCAAATAAAAATTTACAAGGATAATCACTTCAGGATAAAACGAATGAAGGAAATTGAGATCTTCTCATATATTCAATAATTTCTGTTGGTTGAATATTTGTGGTGATATAGAGAACCACAAACAAGAAATTTAGATATGTTTAGTATTAACCTTTTCCAAAGTGGAAAACCATAAGTCATTTATGTGTTAATAGAGAACAAAAATATCATACAAAAAAACAAAAAAAAGGAGGTTAGTGACAAGGAGAATCTAACCTAAAAGAAAAAGAGGAAACACTTATAAAAAGAAAAAGCAAAAGTACTCTCCTTTGTTCTGCAAAAAGTAAAGAAATTCTTGGCTCTAAAGCAAAATATATAACTTCAATCATCCATTATATCACTCCTTGATTTCCTATTAAAAATGTATTATGGATTAGCTTCACAAATTCATTCATCCTCTACGTACATGCAGGAAATAAAAGAGGATTTAGCATGGGCGGCTCAGGGGGCCAAAATGCAAAAAAAGTTTATGGACAAACCAAAAACTTGCATAATTGATCATGTTCTATCTTTTTGAACTAATTATATAGTTGTGGTTTCAGAGAAAATAGTATTAGTATAGCACCAACTTTTGGAATTTTGATATGTGCTAATGATCTAGAAAGTGCAAAATATTCCAATTTTCAGGACCACTGAAACAGTCAAGTAGTAGAACCTTTTCTTATATAAATCATAACCAACTTAAGTAGGTACTAAAATTATTAGGAGCAGTGCCATACACACAATCATGAGGATTAAATAAATATTTCAAAACAAAAAAAGAACTGGAAAGAGAATAGCTCAATTTCTAGCACTTTTCTTGAATGTATATTTGTTTTTGTTTAGAATTTCTGATGTGCCTCTCTGTTAACAAGAACAAATTAGTTGATGTTATCTGAAATATCATTATATGCCTAACTTATGCGTTCAGTGTCATATTTGGCTCTTTTTCTTTTCAGAAACATTAGTTATTTGATTGGTATACGATTCAAATGTATTTAGTACCTAATATAATATAATAAGGAGAGATGAAGAGTAATAAGAACTAAATGCGAACTATAATTGCAATTTAAAACACGACAATTGATCAACAGCTGATTGCTCTATAACGAATGGACATTTAATCACGCTTTCATCCTACTCATGTGTGATTGTAGCCAATTTTTAGTTTTTAAGAAGAGAAGAGCTAATGAAGTAATTCAAATTTTCTAATTCTTCATCATGGTTTTATGTCTTTCATTTTCTGAGCCCAAAAATAAGTGATTAATCTTGAAATAGGTATTTACAGAAAGTGAGAGGCTGAGTAATAAAAGCACTTATCCAAAAGAATATATGACAGAGACTAGAAAATAGAGAACGGTTTTTCCAAAAATTAATGATATCAAGGAATGTTGTATTCCTTTACATAAGAGTTGTTTTGATGGTCAGGATGACTGTTCTTTCTGTTTTTATGTTTTCCATGTAGATTCATGTTACAAAAGGAACTGGACTAAATTGTTTTCCAATACTTACAAATGTTGGCAAATTGCTACATCTTATAAATATTGTATCACAAAAAGCCACCCATGGTGCATCGGTTTAAGCCCAATAACCAATAACATTTGAGGTTCGAGCCTTGCAAGAGACGTTTGTTGCTTGTGTGTTTTGCCATATGTAAAAGGGAGAGTGACTGCCTGACTGGAGCAGTTGTAGAGTTTATGGGATTATGTAAATATTGTATCTGCAATTTATCGTTATTGTTACAACATCTTTGATTGGTGGTCCTAGCCATTAATCTTTTCCTCTCAAACGTTATCTCCTTGAAAAAACTTTGCAAACAAATTGTTGACCCTCTATTTATCTACTTCCATTATTCTCTTTCCACTTCCTTAAGAAACACTTGTCTATCCTATCACAAATTATTGGTTTAGATTTTAGAGATAGATTCAAGAAGATTTGGATACAAAAATACAGATAAACAATTTAAATCGCTATAAGTCAACAAATGTGCACCCAAAATGAAATAATTTATTTGATAGGACGCAATCTATGAATCTAACAAAAACATCTAATATAAAACAAACATATATACTACTAAATAGAGAGTATCCAGTAAGTTTTTGTTTTTTAGAGTTGATTGAAAGAAAAGGTTTGAATTTGACCTACGGACAGCAGTTTTAATTATATAATCCCCATCAATGGCGGTTTTCAAATCTTCAGAGTCTCTACTATTAATTAACAAATTTACCTAACGACAAACAAAATCCGCCTTTCTGGATTTGATCCAACTCAGTCGAATTTTCTTCCACAAAGCATAACCACAGCCCACAGCAAATGCCAATTAATTAACACAAACTATCAAAGCAATACAGATGGCTAATCAACACAAACTATCAAAGCGCTACAGATGATTACCTGTAATCAGAATGATAAAATTAACAGCACCTCAACAAACTGGAATCTAGCCAGCGCTAGCAATCGACTTCAATGGCAGCTAAAGATTACAAAACAAAAAAGCGTAAATGTAAGAGCTCTGTGTGTGTATTTTGCGTAACGAAGTATGATTTAAACTTAAATTCCAACGGCACTCTCCTCAAACTAGTTCAAATGGCCAGCAAAATCGAGTCAAGAGAGAGAGATAACTGAAATTGATTGTAAATCGGAAATGGAGGTGCATTAAAATGCAGTTTAATTTACTTACCGTTGGAAGAATTATGCTTCTTCGTCTTCTAAATATCTGCAGAAAATCTCCTTAAATTGGGAAATCCCTCTCTCCAGGGCAACATTTAACACACACTAATGCTCCTTTATTGTTCTGTTCATACTTCCATATATGTATTTGCTGGGTTTCTTTGCTCCGTACAGCTGCTCACCAAGCAAAAATAAAAGAATGATACTGCTAACCGTTGTATTTTTATAAAATTTAAACTGTAATTTTGAAATGTAAGGATGAAAAGTGTTATAAACAATGAACCATAGGGATCAAGTTTGTAGTTTACTCTAAAATTTAATAATTTATACTATGTTATAAAATATTTGACAAAAACTCTTAAAAATCATCTTTTATGTATGAAGTATTGTTTGTTGATGCATATTACTTAAAAATTCAAGATTACAAGTAAATTATACGTAA